AGAATAAAAGATATCTTGTGTAAAACTAACCAGTGTCTCCACGTTTTCTCATCCTGGCCCGGCGAGCTAATTCCGTGCGGGAAAACGCGGTCGTTACACTCAATATAAAGGATGAAAAGACTTCAGAGTCTGATTCAAACTACATAAATACATATATTGCGACGCTATTTTATACGGCCGCGAGGCTGTTAGGCACGACTGTACAAATATACCGCGCCACAATTATACTGAGCGACTGGCAGAGCAGGATACAAACGCGAAATATGTTGGGCGCCAGGTGTGGAGAAGGCCACACCACTTTTCACTCAAAATAACTCGAAATTCTCTTAATATGCAAAGTGGCCCCAAAGACTCCAAATACTCTCAATATACTCTAATTATTCTCTATACTCTTAAGACTCTGACTCGAATAACGCTGCTCTGGTCGCTCGCGACGACTGCTCAATCAGCGGTAGAGGGTCGTGGTTCAAGGACCGGGCAACTCTATGAGACGTTGACAGTGGTTAGGCGAAACATGAATAAAGAATTTGCGGAAAAATATATATCAGATCTTGTATTCACACAACGTGAGAGAATAGATTCACAAAATATCAGATAGGATCCGCGAGATATAGCGGACGCGTAAATATCCGGGCGTCGTGAGAGGGCTCGACAAATGCCAATGAGGGCTCGCAACACAAGAACACGCCGACGACCATATAGATTTTCCTTAAGATTACGCACAAGAAATACACCGCGCACACGGGCGTGGAAAACTTTGGCTATTAACCGCGCTATAAGTCGCTCAATACAAGACTCTCGATTTTATTCGCAAATCTAAACGCAAAGACTCTCAATATTATTACCAGAACGCACCGACTCCGATTACTATTCGCAAAGATACACGCAAAGGCTCTAAAATTCGCAAAATATAAACACCAACCTCGAAATATTAGCCGCAAAATGTAAACGTAAAACTCTAAATATTAGCCGCCAAATGTAAACGCAAAACTCTAAATATTAGCCGCAAAATGTAAACGCAAAACTCTAAATATTAGCCGCAAAATGTAAACGCTTAATATAATTCTCCAAATATACGAAAGGAGCACCGCGTATGCGGTCTCCACGCAAAACGCATGCTCTTGACACGTGATCTATGCCGGACCTATAATACGCGAATACACTCGAATATAACGCGCAAGTTAAAGGAATGACTGTTGGGCCGCAACGGAATTATAAAAGATTTATCATATTACGCAACGAATATCGTACACTTAAATTACACGCCATGATACGACGGTTGAGCCGGGGGGAAAGGAACACTCCACGATATCTTTACGGGACAGTGCTGGGCGGGGAGGTCAGATCTGAAATTTACTCAACGCTAATCCCGAAGGATTCACGACAATAATCCCGAAGGATTCACGGTAATAATCCCAAAGGACTCACGATAATGACGCGTGGATCTCCATTCCAGATCACACTTGCCTCTCTCAAAACGTCACGGTACGGTACGCGACCCTCCGCCCGCGCTACTGCCCATTACCTTGTTACCGGGATTGCTGGTCCCTCACATACATCGAGTCCTCGGCCCCTTGTTCGTCGGGGCTCGCCGGGCCGCCGCACAGTGGGGACAAATAGAAATTTACTGTTCAAAAATCGCTACAGACCGTAATTCTTAACCGATCAAGACGTTTTTTTTTTTAAATTAATTGTTAATAAATTTCCCACAAAACTGTGGAGTTCGATTTTTTAAAAAGACTCTTTGAAATGCACAATATTAATAACAATTTAAAAATTATTTTAACCTGAAGTTGAATTAAAAGAATTAAAGTTACTTTTGCATTGAGCTAGCTTACGTAACAGTTTTTAAGGTCACTGAATACGAATCTGGTCAAAACCAAAAGTTAAATATTATTTATGATGGACAAGTATGCGTGGTGCTTCCTAAACACGCTGTATATATATATAGTAATAAATAAATAAATATAAAACAAATGCAAAATAATTCGAGTAAAAGAATATATTCAGTCAAAACATGCATTTTTTTAATTTGACGACTGTCAATAGTCAAATATTAATTCTAACATTTGTTTCTAACAGATTTGTATTTAGTGACCTTAAAAACTGTTACGTAAGCTAGCTCAATGCAAAAGTAACTTTAATTCTTCTAATTCAACTTCAGGTTAAAATAATTTTCAAATTGTTATTAATATTGTGCATTTCAAAGAGTTTTTTTAAAAAATCGAACTCCACAGTTTTGTGGGAAATTTATTAATAATTAATTTAAAAAAAAAAAACGTCTTGATCGGTTAAGAATTACGGTCTGTAACGATTTTTGAACAGTAAATTTCTATTTGTCCCCACTGTGCGCCGCCCTGGCTTACAATCGGCCCCTGGGTTCTCGCCGGACCTCGCGCCTTCGGCCCTCGGCGCCTAGTTCAGTGGTGCCTTACCGCCCCGTCGGGTGGCGCCAGCCTGCCGAAACTAGGGCCGTACGGCCGCTCTTCCCTGAAAATAGAACTATACGACCAGCAATAGAAATTACACGACCCGTAATATAAATTGGTCCATTCCTCCGAGTGGTCGGAGTCCAGGGCTACGCACGAGCCACAGGCTCCTGTGACGGGCACACGGTGCCACGTCACAATATGTATTATGAATAAATACATATATGTATTTATGTATACTTTGAATCAGACTCTGAAGTCTTTTCATCCTAAGATATTGAGTATACATTCAGTTATATATCTTGTCACGTCTTTTTACGCCCGGTATCACGTCTGGGACGCAAGACGGATCAAAAGGGAAGGTGAGGAGAGATGGATGACGGACCTCTCCAACGGGTCTCTCGCACAGTCCGACAATTAGACTCAACACTAGGGCGCCAGACGCGTTTGCTCGCGTCCACTAATTTATATCAAGATCGCGAAAACCCGAAAATAAACACGAAAACGCAATTAATCCGGCGTGCGAGAAATCAGCCAGCTCGACCTAACGGCTATGGGCGGAGTTGATGGAGGGCAGCGCAAGATTCGGCGGGGTGACGCGTAAATCACATACTCAGATATTTAATAATAATCAATAACAAGGTTTATTGTGGTGCTAACATAGCGTATATTATTGGCCCCTTTCAAACCTTTCAACTTTTATCTGAAACATTTTTCCAATAAACCAAGCCGTCAATTGACACTTAACGAAGATTAACACAATAACATTTAAACGATATCCAACGATAAAGGGATCATGGCGACACTGATTAAATCGACATAGAACATTAAAGGTTAACCCTCCGTGGTCACACTGGGTCAATTTGACCTAACCTTATTTGGATCTAAATATCAGCTAAATACCTAGCTTAAAATGGAGCTTGGTCCGCCATCTACAAGAGTTTGAAGTATCCTCTATAGGTAGAGACCGTTAAAAAAACAAATTTTTCGCGAATTTTTTTTATATGTTAAAAATTCCTGAGGCACTTTTTTTACAGCAATCAATTCAGTAATATCGCAAGTGCATTCGAGAATTTTTTCAACACTATCGGTGGATAAATGGTCAAATGGCGAACGATCAAAGTTCGTCTCGGGTCAAAATGACCCAGAGTGACTTCCTTGTTTGAAAAAATAGGTGTGACCACGGAGGGTTAACACCCTGTTAACACCAAACCAACATCCAACGATGAGGATCAATCTCCAACCTACACTAAACATTGAGGTTTAATCCCCAACCTACACTTATCATTGAGAATAAACTCTCAATATACATTCATCATTGAGAATTAAACCCACAACTTACCTAAACCTTAATGGTCAACACTCAATTTACACCTAATAATTTAAGTGTTGACACTTAACTTTGATGACAAACACTAAACTTTGGGTGTTAACTATCAAAGTTGAGTGTACTTTTTCATAAGGGTTCTTTTAGATCTAAGGAAATAATCCAATCAGAACTCAGAAAACTCTTCCAACAGTTGTACAAAAAACAGGTTCTGCTAAATGTGGCCAATGTTAATCAATATTTAATAATTCAATTGTTGTTGCATTGTTTTTAATAGTTTTCAATTAATGTTCTACTACAAGGTTTTTGAACACTATAAAGATGTATTATATACAAGTATAAGCAAGAAGTGTAAGGAAGCGTCAGAGTCACAGGATTATCACTAACCCGTTCAATCGTTAAATAATATTTTCTGAATGTTGAATTACAACGTCTACAAGACATTATGCAATTCAGCGGACATTAAACATGTGTGCAATGTCTTTTCAACTTTAAATCTACATTTTGCAACGTTGATGCAAAATTGCAAATGTTGCAATGCAATGTTTTTGAGATGTTGATTCAACGTTTGTGTGCTGTATGAGTTAGGGGTGTAGGACAAGAAGAGAAAAGCGATTTTCTGTTATATATCTTCTGTATGATCTGATAAACTGTTAACTAAGTTAACTGTTAAATAAGTTAATATAAATATAAATATATATAAAGTTAAGTGTCGACACCGAAACTTTGGGTGTCGATACTCAAATGTCGGTGTTAACACTGAAAATTTAGGCGCTGACACCGAAAATGGAGTGTAAACACCCAAAGTTGGGTGTAAACACCAAAATCTTCGGTGTTTTTTTCGTAAAATACATACATGGTATCGTAGTATCTAATATAATCACGTTATATGCATTAAGATTATTTTGTTAATAACTTTTTAATAAACTTTTTAATAAAGAACGGGCGACGGCTAAAACCTTCTGAAAGTTACTCAAGAGTGTGACCTCTATAATATATGTCAAGGTTAAGGTCATAAGAAGTGAGTCTTTAATTCGGTATATTTACCCAATTCTGTAATATAAAATTTTTAAAAGGAAGGAATTTTTTATTTTCATGCGCTTCCTTGTTGGTGACACCACCATACACATGCATGTGCACGCATGTACGCGCGCACGCACACAATCCATTTTTTTTATCTTCTTTCTTTTTAAATATGTATAGATAATCTAAATTTGCTTGTACAAAAAATTATTTTATTTCAGTTAAATATAACAGAAAATCGCTTTTTGGACAATATCTTTGCTGTGCTCAAGTATGATGCTTATTATAATTTACAAAAGTTGCGAGAGCCAGTTGACAAGAACAAATGGTCGACTGAGCCGGCTGTGGTGAATGCCTTCTACAATCCTAACAGAAATGATATCGGTGAGTATTATCACAATAAAACAATTAGTCATTATTGATGTTCTTCATCTGTATCTGTCAATCTAATTGAATCTTTTTATTTTTCCTTAATTTCTATTGTTAAATCTTCTTAACTTCCGTATTCTTAATATTTTTTTCTCAATGTTGCTTGCTACTATTTATTACTCGATTATGTAAAATTAAAATGTTATTATGTATATAATCAAAACATTTTCATTTTGCGCATACGCTATTGAAATAAGTATGAGAAGGTATAATTAGTAGATGAAGAGCGACAAATATTTGTGTAATTTCTAAATTGTCTTACGAAAACACGAAATGTCTCGAAATGCAAAGCATTTATGTAAAGCGTGTTGCCGACAAATGACGTTTCTCATGTACTGAAAAAATCAATACAATCAGTACGAAGTTTGATGTATCCCAGCGAGAAATGACCCATCGAATCGACGTCAAATTGACGTCAAAATCATCGATATTACATCATATCAAAATAATGCTCGAAATTTGAAGCTTATTTCGATGTTTGTGCTTTATGACATTTTTTAAAAGAAGAGATTATTTGTGACATACATTCATCACGCCAGACTGTAAATAAGCAAATTATGTATTTTCTGTTAAGACATCGATATTTCATCATTTCGATATCGATTCGAAGCTATTTTGATTTGCCTGTCAAATATATAATAACATTGCCATTATATAGATTGCAATATGAATAAAAAATTATATTGTATTGGCAGACATGGATAATGTAAATATTTTATGATTTGAGCATTATAATAATTGCGTTACAATATTAATTTTTTTAGGCTTCTATTTCCATTAAATAGTTACTTTATAACTGTAAAAGTCACAACAAAATTCTTGTTCGTAATTTGACAATTTTAAAAATTAAAATATTATATTGTTTGCGCTAATTGCGTTTCCACTCTTTAATTTAATTTACTTTCGCGCTCATTTTTATTTACCATATACAAGGGCGCTCCCGTCGACTCATGCGTATGCCTCTTTCGTTAGTTCACTGAATTGCTGGTAGCGCTCTCGTCGTCTACTTTCTGTTCCCCCCTATACTTCTTCTTCTTCAATAAAGTTTGTTACTTTCAACCGTTCAGATCGACATTTTTGTATAAGTCAAAAGTAAACTTCGGCGTAAGCCAGGAAAAGAAAATACGCAATCCACTTATTGCGACGGCACAAGCCCTCACATATACATTGGTCCTTTGAGCCGGATATTTCGGATACATACAAAAGAGCCAGCAACATATGGAAGCCATACGGACTTACTTGCACAACGAATTTCAGTATCGCAAAAATTGATATTTCAGGAATTTTATTCAAAGCTACATAACTTACAAGTAGCCACAAGGTCTAAGCTGCATACGAGTAAGAACGTTTTACTGCCAGACCATTTTCATTGTTGATCTTTGTTCGTACAACACACGTTATTGAGGTAAGCCAAACGCCACATTTGTCGCATTTGGACAATTGGTCATCCATTTCCTGTGCCATTGACCGGCCATTGATATACATTTTGTTTACGCATCGCATAGCACTAGCATTGTGTCTCTAAACGGTCTCTGTGATACAAATTTATAAGATGGATTCGATGGCGCTCTCAGAAGCCAAGTCCAAGCGAGCACACATAAGAGCCGCTGCAACACGTCTGAAAACTTACCTAGATAGTTTCAACATACAACAAGGTTCGCGACACGATATTGCTGAACGTAAAAATAAATTATCCGAGCTGTGGAATCAATTCGATCTTGTTCAAACCAGACGAATCAATCACTGACAAAGATGCCCTTCTCGCACAGCAAATACAACACAGAGTTATGAATCAATTTTACAACATTTTGATCCACACGAAGTTCAAGCCGCGCCTTCTCTTGAAGGCAACGCATTTGCCAACGGAGCAAGAGAAACGCGTATTAAACTACCAAAGATCGACCTTCCAGTTTTTTTCAGGTGCATATGACAATTGGTATTCATATCAGAATACTTTCGAGAAGTTGATCCACACCAACGATGCTCTTACGGAAATTGAGAAATTCCATTATCTGCGTTCATCTCTCAGGGACAAAGCCGCCGAAGTAATAAAATCTATCGAAACCACCTCGGATAACTACCATGAAGCATGGACGGCGGTAAAAGAATGCTACGATAACAAGCGCTGGATCATTCAAAGGCATATTAGAGCCATATTCGACGCACCAGCGCTGACGAAAAAAAAATCATGTCAATCTACGCGAATTATTAGACACCATTCTCAATCATTTACGCGCTCTTAAAGCCATAAAAAAACCCACAGAGTCTTGGGATGATTTGATTATTCACAGAATTGTCTCTAAGCTTGATTCTACCACTAACAAGGCATGGAAAACCAGTATTCCCGATAAAGAGGTACCTAACCTAAAGTCACTGACAGATTTTCTTTCGAAGCGCTGCCAAGCTCTCGATGCAATTTTTGGAAAGATGTCAGTCAGCCAATCTCTGCTACTTCGTCAAAGCCTTCCAGCAAATCAAAGAGTCTTTCTGCCACGAATGTTATCACATCTAATTTCTCTTGTCCACAATGCAAAGAAAATCATGCTTTGTATCACTGCGAGGCTTTCCTCAAATTACCAGTCGAAAAAAGAATTCAGATTGTAAAAAGGGCTTAGTTGTGCATGAATTGCTTGAGGTCTACTGCGGCATCGATCCAGAGATTGCAATTCGAGTACTTGCAGGCAATGCCAGAAAAAACACAACACACTGCTACATTTGTCAAACGCGTCAAATACTGTAACCTCGATTTCAAATGAATCTCAATCATCTGAGACAAAACAAGACACACAGCCCATCGCTACGCAATGCCTATTAGATCAACAATCGCGTGCTCATAATATTGTATTATCTACTGCCATTATACATGTATTTGATTTCGACAATCAGGTTGTCCCTTGCCGTGCACTGTTAGATAGCGGCTTCCAAGTAAATTTTGTAACACAGCAGTTAGCCGATCGTTTACACCTTAAAGTGCAAACAATTCAGATGTCCATTTCGGGCATAGTCAACGGATCTATTCAAACGCAAAGGGCAATTCATGTATGCGTCAAATCACGTTTTAATAGATTTAGCGAACAACTACAATGCATAATTCTACCAAAGATTACACATCAATTACTACAAAGATTTATACATCAACACAAGGTCAAGATACCAAACATTATAAAACTTGCCAATCCCAATTTTAACGTTCCTAGCGATATTGATAACTCTCCAAAAAACACATCTTGGTTGGATCATTTCAGGTCCTTTAGCAAACGCTACGCAATCATGCAGCTCAGCTATCAGTTGTTTGGCCATCATGGAAGATTTACATCGTGCAATCAACAGATTTTGGGAAGTTGAAAATATCACTTCTTCTTCCAGAACATCACTTGAAGAACAAGAATGCGAACGTCTCTTTATAGATACTACCAGACGCAATAATGAAGGACGCTTCATAGTGCAACTACCACTCAAACCTGACAAGTTAAGAAATCTCGGAGATTCCCTGGAAGTAGCCACACGACGCTTCAAGTTTTTGGAAAAACGTCTTATAAAATTACCAAAAATCTATGCTGAATACAAGTCTTTCATACAAGAATATTTGAATCTAGGACACATGCGTGAGATAACCCATCATTCGGAATCCACCAGCAACCTTCAACCTTTTTACCTCCCGCATCATCCAGTGTACAAAGAAACAAGCACCACGACCAAGTTAAGGGTCGTATTTAACGGGTCTTGCAAAACGACTACTGGGACTTTATTAAATGATGCACTGATGGTTGGTCCTACCATTCAGGACGACCTCTTCTCAATTCTGTGTAGATTCCGCACGCACAAGTATGCCTTAACCGCCGAAATCAACAAGATGTATAGGCAGGTTTTGGTCGATCCCAGCCAAACATGTCTTCAGCGTTTTTTATGGAGGAATTCTACAGATGAACCTATAAAGGTCTGTGAATCGCTCACTCTTACGTATGGCACTGCTTCTGCGGCCCTTTTGGCTATCCGATCGATCACGAAGCTAGCGCAGGATGGTGCTACTAAATTTCCAATTGAAGCTGCAATACTACTGGATGATTTCTACGTAGATGACATGGTCTCTGGCGCGGACACCCTGCAAGAGGATTTAACCATCAAGACTGAAACCTTTCAGCTCCTTCAAGAAGGACGATTCGAGCTCCGAAAATGGGCTTCAAACGATTCCACACTTCGGATCGAGCAAATTCTGCAAAAGGAGTTTGTTCTCTCATCCGACAAGGAATGTGAAACGAGGACACTAGGATTAATATGGAATTGTAATTTCGATCAATTTAAATTTTCCAGCATTGTTGACTTGTTACCGTTGTCAGCACCCACTAAGAGGACTATTCTCTCCAGAATCGCATTGGACTTTGATCCTCTTGGGCTCCTCGGTTCTGCTACAGTTACTTCAAAGATTATCATCCAGGAACTCTGGCGTCTCAAAATTGACTGGGATGAATCCGTCCCTTTGGATATCCACACCAAGTGGAGGCGTTATGAAAACGAGCTATCCGCATTGCAGAATCTGAACCATACCTCGTAATCATTGCTCTAGATGAATACATATGTTTAGAGCTCCACGGATTTGCAGATGCTAGTGAGCTAGCCTATGGCGCATGCGTTTATTTACGCGCTACTTCTCAGGATAGAGAACACGCAACACGCCTCCTTTGCTCAAGAAACCGCGTCGCACCGCTTAAGACCTTTTCTATCCCACGTCTCGAGTTGTGTGCAGCATTCTTATTGGCCCAGCTCATCACCAAGGTTTTAAAAGCTCTTAAACGAGAAATAAGCTCAATATATTTATGGACCGATTCAACCATTGTACTCGCTTGGCTCCAATCTACCAGCCGCACGTGGACTTTATTCGTTGCTAATCGTGTTGACGAAATCCAACAGTTAACTGCCATAAAGGATTGGTACCACGTAAGTACTCAACATAATCC